TCCTCATCATCTACAAGAGTAATATTTTTCTTGCTGTTTGAATAAAAGTCTTCTCTGCTTTTGGGGCATTGTGGGAAGTTAGCCAAATGAAAGGATAGAGTACACAGCACAGCAGTTTGTTCTCTTGTACTTCTAGGTTCTTTGTGATGTTATGGGGGATATTATTGCTCCCTCACAGAGGTTCTCAGAGTTGGAAGAGGCCTGAGACACCGTAAGTCCAAGTAGTGCCTCAACAGCATCATCCACAAATAGTCATCTAGGTGTCACCTGAAGTTTAGAGACTTCCCAAGGTCATTCCAGTTTTACATGGCTTGTGTTGTTATTCATTCGTTGTTCCTACTTCTGCTTCTTAGGACTGAACAGAATGTCTAAATTCCTCTTTTATATGACAGCCCTTCAGATATTTGAAAAGAGCTGTCATGGCCCTGGGACATCTAGGTGGCACAGTGGATAAAGCACTGGGCCTGGAGTCAGGCCTCAGTCACTTCCTAGTTTAACCCTGTTTGTCTTAGTTTCTTCATCTGTCAAATGAACTGGAGAAGAAAATGGCAAACCACTTCAGTATCTTTGCCAAGAAAACCCCAAAAGGAGTCACAAAGAGTCCAACAGAACTAAAACAACTCATGAACAGTAACAAATCTTCACTTTCCCCTAGTCCTGTCTTCTAGGTTACATATTTCTTTTTTCTTTCTTTCTTTTATTTTTTTTTTGCTTTTTGGTGAGGCAATTTGGTGCTAAATGACTTGCCCAGGGTCACACAGCTATAAGTGTCAAGTATCTGAGGCTGAATATGAACTCACGTCCTCCTGACTCCAAGGCCAGAGCTCTATCCACTGTACCACCTAGCTATCCCCATAGGTTACATATTTCTTGTTGCTTCTCTCTATCTTTAGAAAGCATTGTCCACATAGCAACCAAGTTTACTAATTCTCGTGCTTCAGAGAGCTTCAGTGATTTCACTTTGCCTCCAGGATAAAATATAAATTCCCCTTGCCAACATTTAAAACTCTTCCACAGTTTGACTGCACCTTGCAGCAGCTGGGTGGGCCAGTGGCTGGGCCAGTGGCTAGAGGGCTAGACTTGGAGTTAGAAGGACCCAAGTTCCAATTTGGTCTCGGAGAATTAACTAGTTATGTGACCTGTGGCAAACTTAACTTCTCTCTGCCTTAATTTAGAATAATATTATAGCACCTACCTCCCAGGTTTTGTTGTGATGGTGCGGTGCTTTGCAAACCTTAAAACATTACATTAAATCGGTACTACCTGCTGCTGCTGTTGTTGCTGTCATCATTATTCCCCTTCATGTATTCTACCCTTCAGGCTAACCTAGGCTACTTGCTTTTCCCAGTGCATGACATTCTGTCTCCTACCTATGTATACACGCTGTCTCCTATGCCTAGGATTATCTTCCTCCTCACATCTCCTTCTTGGAATCCCTATCTCCATTATTAGCCTGAGCTCATGCCATCTCCTACGCAAAGCATACCCAAATAGTTTCTCCACTCCCCCAAAATTGTCTATTTATTTTGTTTTTTCTTACATATACTTCTTACACAGATGAGAAGATAAGCTCTTTGAGGTCAGGAACTTTTTATTTCCAGTGCCTGTCACATAGTAGGTGCTTAATAAACATTTATTAAAGTAATACTGAATTAAATCGAAAGTTTATCCAATCCCCTCACCACCTCCGTTATCCTTTATTGGACATTTTCTTTATTTCCCTCTCAAAATGGGTCTGAGAAATGAACCCAGCATTGCAAATGTTGTCTGACCAGGAAAGAGTATAGTGGGAGTATCATTTCCTATGTTACATTAGCTGCCTTGTTTTAAGAATAATAATAATAGTTATTATAATAATGCTTACTATGTGCCAGGTACTCTATTAAGTGCTTTATGATTATTATCTTATCCTCATCAACAACCTTGGGAGGTAGCTGCTGTTTTTCTCCCCAATTTGTACATGAGAAAACTGAGGCAAACAGGTAAAATGACTTGCCCAGGGTCACACAGTTAGGATGTATCTGAGTTGGAACTCAAGTCTTCCTAACTCCAGGCCCTATGCTCTATCTGCTGTACCACCTACCTTGTAATTCACTAAACCGCCCAGGTATTTTTTCATGTACACTGGTGACCAGATGTGCTCTGTCATTCTGTATACACTATCACTAAGTCCATAATAAAAACTTTTCCATATTCAAAGAAACTACCAACACTCTTCTAAGAGTACAGCCTATGAAGAATTCGTAGCAATAACAAGATAGGGATCTAATTGTATTAGTCTGAAGAGAGACTGAACTGCCCATTCCACCTTAAAGCATTCAGGGGATTGGGTGCCTAATGACATGTGTTCCCTTTCATGTTGAGGTATCTTAATACATGTCTGGTCAGGTTACTGTCAACATCCAAAGCACTTTGAAGGTAATGAGAGATAGAGAAGAACAACTTGCAGCCTCTAAGAGGGATGTGTGGAAGTGACCTAATCCCTTGTTTTTACCTTGGTATTATCTAAGGCTCATTATGAGCTTGTGATAGTGGGGTATTTTTTGAACAAATGACAAGCCTCCCTCTTGAGTCTGAACCTCACTACTGAGTCTTGCCACTTCCAGCCCCCTCTTATATTCCAAGAATGCTGACTACCACTGCATTTAATCTAGGTTTCAACTCTTCAGTATTCATCAGCAGGCATTTATTAAGCACCTACTACATGCCAGTCATGAGGAAGAATTCTTCATTTGCAAGCGTTGTCTAACTTAGATAACCTGTATTCTACCTTGACTCCTGGCCTGTAGAGTAGCTGGCAAAATTACATGACCTATACCCAGGGTGGTGTGAATGCTCTGATCATGGTATAAATGCTGTAGGTTCCAAAGTAAGTGTTACAAAACTGGTGACACATTTAAAGCCAGCACAACCCAAAGTAATCCCTACTCGTGTTTTTTATGTTACTTTTATGTTACTTTAACTATAGTTAACATTTATAGTCTTTTCATTCTTTTAAGTTTCTCATGCTTTAGTTGAAGGACAGTTTTAGATACTGTATTTGTGTGAGAAATAAGTACTATTAGACTTGGAGGAGTTCAGAATCTACAAATGTGGGGAAAAAAAACTAGAATAGTACCATATAGCCTGGGAGGCAAAGCCAGATTACATATTCTGAAACAGTCTGTCAAGGGCTTGGTAAGATTCACTAAATTTATTGTAGGTGGACTCCTAGAATTCAGCAGTTGAGTACCTGTTATTTTGTAAAATGAGTATGAGGTGCTATGAACAAAGTTCATAAGAGGCTTATCCCTGTTTAAAGGCATAATGTCTCCTCTACAAATTGACCAACTCACTCTGCTTAAGCCCAACAGGTTATTAGAACTGACTTGCCTCACAAAGTAGACCATTTCATTTAAAATTTAACGAGCTAGATGAAAAAGCTGGTATACTGACATGAGATTTTATCTAGCTTTTTCATTTGCATTCAAAAGATAAAATTATACAGTACTGTAGTTGTTAGTCACATTCTTTCTCAGGAATTGGGGTGTATAGGTGTATATGTGGGGGGGGGTTTCATAGTTGTAATGAACGTCTATGAAATACGTGCTCTATGTAGGACAGGTCCAATTTTGAGAAATAATAAAATTGAAACTAAATGTTTTATTAATTTTTCAGAATATCTTTTTCTTTTCAAATGAACAGGTAAGAATAGGTTGGTGTACATGGTTCTATAGGATAGCAAGTTACCACATTTGTTATAATAGCAAGTCATTCCCATCTATAGGAGCTAGTACTTGATATGTATGACTCCTGTGGGTACAACTGGAACCAGTGTATAGAATTTATTGCAAGAAACATTCTTTTTTGGTTTGGTATAAGAAAGAATAAGTAAGCAATTTGTAACAATTAGATCTTTCCCAAGATAAAATAATTTGCCTAGGGAAATAGTGAGTTCTTTGGTTAATCTGTTGTCTCCTATTAAAATACGAATTCTTTGAGAGTAGGGATTTTCTTTTCTACTTGTATTCCTAAGTAGTTAATTTAATTAAGCTTTTTCCATTTATTCCTTAAAGGTTGAGTAGAGGGCTAGTGGGATGACTTGAAAGGGAGTTTGGTATAGTGGGAAAAGCACTGAACTTGGAGATTTCCGAGTTCCAACTGGTAAGGTCAAGATCTTCTAATCCATGTTGTACATAATCAGAGGTAGAATGAACTTAGACCTCAGCAGGAATGTAACAGGAGTGTAACATCTGTTAGGGTCTAGTGGTGTCGAGAACCCCACAATTCAAAGGTAAGTGATGAGGGTCTTGCCTTGAATGAATTCAACTCAAGCCTTCTTTCAGTCAGAGACAAGGTTTATTAAAACGCCCATTGAGATGGGCAAGATTTTAAGAATCTGCCCTATTGGCCAGATTTTAAGAATCTGAGCCTCTGTCATGAGAATCAGGCCAGACTCTTAAGGAGTTTGAGTGATTTAATGGGGCCAAGATGGACGCTTGTATACAGTGGTCAAGGAGTAGCCAATAGCTTGGGTGACTAGGAGGTAAGGGAGAAGGACCCAGGAGGGCCAGGTGCCCTAGGTGAATGCCAGGGACTTGGGCCACGTGGGAAAGTCCAGGGCCTTTTAGGGTCCATCATTAGTGCGCCCCATCACATCCATGACAATCGTTATGCAGTTTCCACATGAGTATTTCTGTTCCTCACGCAGCTGTCTTTGACCATTTATAAAATGATAATACTATACTACAAACAAAGGTCATTTTGAGAATCAAGTGAGATGATTCATATAAACTGTAAAAGTACCATATGACTATATCCCATTTATTTTATTCTGAAGGGATTAGACTAAATGACCTCTCAGATCCTATGACTTTTTACCAAATTCAGCATACTGCATTATGGACAGTGGATGCTTAGTTTTTATTTTGGATGAATCAGTCTTAGCAATAAAAACCTTCTGGTGAGAGTAAGAAGCACGGTGTATAGAGATTTTCTTACATGTGTTTATTTCCTTACAGGTCTTCCGGAACAGTACTATAGCCTCACTTGGTTCCTTAGCCCTATCCTGGGCCTCATCTGCACTCCACTGATAGGTTCTGCTAGTGACCGATGTACACTTAGCTGGGGCCGCCGGCGGCCTTTCATTCTTGCTCTCTGCATTGGAGTTCTCTTTGGAGTTGCACTTTTCCTCAATGGTCCTGCCTTAGGTAAATATTAAGTGAATTTTCTCTTTGTTAAAAGATGCAGTTATGAAACATTCATGAAAAGGTTACTGAGCTTTACTACTTTTCTCATACATCATGACAGTGTCTCTCAAAGGCTTGAACTTTTTCTGGAGCTAGAACTGACTTCCCTTTCTGACCTTGGTCAAGTCATGTTACCATCAACCTTCATTTTCATCATCTGTGAAGTGTTTTTTTTAATATAACATCATATGATTATGTGAAGAAAGGACTTTGTAAACTGCAAAGCCCCTATAGAATTTTGAGCTAGTAGCAGTCTTGGTATAAAATGATTCAGTTTAAACAGGGAGTGTGTGAAAGTCCTTAGACTTTCAATGACTTATTTTCATTCAGAAAGCAGGTAACTGCTTTGAATGTGTCACAGAATTCTTTGCAACAGCCACTTCTTAGTTATGATTAATACAATGGTTACTAGCATAATATTTGCATGGTTTGCAATACATTCAGCCAGGCCCTCACATGGGAAAACTGTAGGAACCTGTTCACAGGGAAATGTTTCCTGTTGTGATCCATTTTCTTTTTAACGCATATCTAACAACACATCCTGTTTCCAGCATTATTTCAAAATTATCTTTTTTTTCCTTCTCCCTTTCTTATGTTTCATATTGAAAAATTCCAGAACCCAGCTTAATATTTGTTTTTTTATCTAAAGTAACAGTTTCTGGAAAGATGATTTTTGCTTTGGGAACCCTTATCAAAGAGAGCTATTTAAAAATAAATGCCATGTTTGAGGCAACACCTTTTACTGTCATGATCCTGAACCACTTTATACTCATTGATTCTCATAAAATACAGAGCTTTAAATTTTCCTTAACTAATACATCAACTTTATTTAGGAGTATGCAGTAAACATTTTCTTAGTGTCCTAATAGAAATTCAGTTAACAAATAGCCCTCATTTGGCAAATTGAGTTCAGTAGCAGTAACTGGGAGCTAAAAACAACCTTATGAAGTCGATAGTACAAATTCTAAAAGGATCAATTTATTTTCTCACTTTGCTGCAGCATCAGCCTCTCTTAGCTATATGTGTTCTCTCCTTTCTAGCCCAAATATTGTTTTTCTTAGCAGAAGCAAAATGAGAATCATGTAGCTCCATCTCAGTCTCTCGCCTTAGTCAGTTCTTTCTTTTTGTGCCCTTTCTGAACCATGTGATCCTATCTTCCCCTTCTTCTACCTGACTGCCTATTCCTTCTCAGCATCTCAGCAGATCTCTGTCCTAGAAATGCTTCTCCATCTCTAATTGTTCTTGGTAATCGATCAGCTCTTAAGCAGGTAACTTAGATCCAGCCCTCTCCTAAGTGCCAGACCTGCATCACCAACTAGCTGCTGGGTACCTGTACATGAGCATCGCACAGACATCTCAAACTCAACCAGTTGAAAGTGGAACTTACTATCTTTGTCCAAAACCTTCTCCTCCTCCTAAATTCTCTGTTTTTGCCCAGGGCATCACTGTCCTTCCAGTTTCTCAAGTTTGTCACCTCACTGTCATCTCTGACTCCTCTGGTTTCATCTCCCATATCTCATCAGTTCCCAAATCTTCTACTGAAAGGGACACCAAGCTGCCACTGTATTTTTCATATCTGTCTCCTCTCTATTCATGTGGCTGACACCTTAATACAGACCCATGTCACCTCTGATCTCGTCTCTTGCAATTGATCTCTTTGCCTTTAGTCTCTCTGCTTTTCACCCTGTCTTCCACACAGCTGACCTCATGGTCTTCATAAAGTAGGTGGGTTATGTTGTATCTCTGCTTTCAAAAAGCCTCAGGGATGTCCTTTTGGTTCTAAGGTAAAGTGCAGATGCCGTTTGTATTTAATCCTTACGTAAGCTGGGTCCACCCTACATCTCTATTTCACATTAATGCCTTGTGTTCCGTTCGAATGGGCCTACTAGGTGTTCCCGATTTATAACAATAACAGGACCTCTTCTCTCCTTTTCACGTAGACAGTCTGCCCCCCCGTTCGTGGAATGCTCCACCTCCACCTTTACTTCTCATAACCCAATTGCCACTTGTTTTTTTCCCTAATTATTAGCACTTCATCTTCCAAATTGTTTTGTATATACTTGAATTTTCTTACTTGTGTGTATGTTGTCTTTCTCCTGACCCTCACCAGCCCCAGAAGAACGTCGGCTTCTCGAGGACAGGGATCGTTTTCCTTCTTTCTTTGTATCCCTTGTTCTTTGTACAGTATGTTGCACAAAGCAGGTATTTGATAAAGCTTGTTGGATTAAAATGAAAGCATGGTACAGTGGAAAGAACACTGGCTCTGCAGTCGCGAGGTCTGAGTTCAGATTGTTCTTCAGGCTCTCATTACCTGGGCAGGTCATCAACCTCCCCTGGGACTCTGAGTCTTTTTCTGTAAGAGGAGAGGGAAGGTTGACCTCGGCGGCTTCTTGAGGTCCCTCTGGCTCTAGATCTCTGACACTGTGCTCTTAATCATGTCCATCGCTGGCCCCTGAGTAGCTTTTATTTTTATAAACTCTTCTTTGACCTTCCCTTTCCTTTTTACAACCAAGAAGTCCTTGTAGCCTTCCTTGCCAGGCCCAGCTCATTAAGTGCTGAGCTCAGACATACTTTTAATGAGTCTGCTTTTATCCTCTCTTCTCCCTGTCTCCCTGTGGGAAAAGGCCCTGAGCTTGGGCTCTTTTGGAGACCCAGCTCTGGTGCTTCATTGCTGGGTCTCTCAGTTACTAGCTGCATGACCATCATTATCTCTGAACCTCAGCTTCTTCGTTATTATCTGTAGGACATTTGGAAAGAATGGAGAGTGTACTTTTTTAAAAAATTAAATTTTTTTTATTTTTAGTTTCCAATATTCACTTCCGTAAGATAGCTCCATAACTCCATAAGAGTTTCAGTTTTTCTCCCCATCTCTCCCCTCCCCCAAGAGAGCATGCAAATTGATACAGGCTTAACATATACCTTCATATTAAACCTGACAGTGTTATTTTTAAATGTCATTCCTTCCAGTATGTTAGATGTTGAGTGCTCAGATTCTCTGATTCTATAAAGCAGTATTGATTATAGGAATTTAGACTTTCAAGCACATGATAACTGTGCTTTAGGCATTGAGAATGCAAGAGACATTGAAATGCAACCCTTCTCCTCTTTATGTCACATTAAGTCATAGTTTGTGAATAATGTACTAAAGAGCAGAGTCACTTCAGAAACTCAACAAAGAATGAAATACTGTATTTGTCACCCTTGAAAATTGGTGTTGAACTCTCCCTCCTAGATGTGTATCATTGCACAACTACAAAACTCATTTCATGATGTTGGAATAGTTAGAATTTCCGCTCTTTTTTGATGGAAGAAAATTTGTGGTATTATTTGAGGGGCAGCGAGCGTTTTTTGCAGGGGAGGAGTGAGCCTGCTGGGGGTAAACATAACCTTGCTACCAGAAGAAAGTCCAGTCCCAGCTACTCTGCTCTTCCAAGAAACTGTGCCAAAGAATGCAGACACCCTTGCTGTCTGTTAAAGATATGGTCCCAGTAAGTGTTTTCTTGGCGGTTTTCCTCCCAGAGATTAACTTTTAAGTACCCTGTTCCTTGAGTTAGCAAAGCCTTGGAGTTTGTTTTGATTCCTTTTCACATTTTGTTTCCCCAGGTCTGGCCCTTGGTGATGTTCAGAATAAGCATCCAATTGGGATCGTCCTCACGGTGCTTGGTGTTGTGGTTTTGGATTTCAGTGCAGATGCAACAGAAGGGCCCATCCGTGCCTACTTGTTGGATGTCGTGGACAGTGAAGAACAAGACATGGCGCTTAACATCCATGCCTTTTCAGCCGGTAAAAAGCTCTTTTCTCACTTGTTACTTCAGATTTTGTAAGAGAAAGTTATGTTAGAGCTAGGCAAGGGACAAAGAGGCAGGATAACTTGTATCCTCCTGAATCACAGTCAAGACAGACTCAACTTCCTAGCAAATGAGGGAAATGACTAGATGATAACCATCATGAATGTTCAAAAACCAACAGGAGATGGATATTGAAGAGTCTCAGCCCTCAAAGCCTAAAGACACCAGTGTTCCTCATTTTTAGGCAGTGTTACCTGCCCAGCAGCCTTAGATTTATATTCAGAAGATCTGAATTCCATTCTTGATTCTGCCACTTAATAGCCACATGAACTTTTTTACTTCCTAGTCGTTTTTGCTCAACTGTGAAATTCAGTTAAAAATAGTTGTACTTACCTGTGTCTCAGAATATTAGTTCTGTAGTATTAAAACCATTCAGCAATCTTGTGAGGGTCCAACAAGATAAAATAATGTATAGCACTTGCTAACCATAAAGTAAGAAATATAAATCCTTCCTTTAGAGGTTGTCTTCTAAAGCAGATTAGTAGAATCCTGACTGTGCATTGACTGCTGCTTTGTCTGTTCCAGAACTGGTAGAAGCTCTCAAGTGAACAAATCATGTCAGAAAACAGTATAGAGTCATGAACTTGGAAGGAACTCAGATAACATTTTAAAAATTGGGAAATTGAGAAACCAAGAGGTAAAGTGACTTTCCTAAAGGCACATGGTTAGGAGGTGGCAGAACCTTAGACTCAGGCCCAAGTGTGCTCACTCCCCCCTCCCCCAGTGTCCAAATGAAGCACAAATTCTCTTTTAGATAGTATCAAATGAGCAAAACCACAAGGTGCAGTCATTGTGCGGTGGTGAAAAGTGGAAGCTGGCTATGGGGTCATTTTCCTTCCTCATAACATGAATTGTTATATATCAGAACTGAAATTAGTTCCTTGCTCCCTTCTCACAGATAAGGTATTTAGGATGTAGTGAAAAAGTAATTGAGCACATTATACTAATACATAGCAATTAAATAAAAATATGTGTAATAGCCTGGGATTCTAAAGTGTCATATTACTAACTTTATTAAAATGAGAATTTAAGTTAAATGATGAGCTATTAAGCTATTTCTTCTGCATATTCATAAAAAAATCACTTCCAGTAAATTTAAGGGATTCACAACATCCTGAAATATATTTGGTGATATGGCAACCAGAATGGATGTCTCACATTGTTGTCATACTTTATGTATATTTCCAAAACATTAGAGAATAATACACTTTTACCTCCTACAAAGAAGGGGAAAAATACCTTTATCTCTACAGTGAGTAGGCTATCTGTTTGCTTTTTAATGTTTGTTTTTCTCCAGTAGATGTTATGTCTCCAATGTGCCCGATTCTAAGTTAAGCGCATATTAAAACTTAACCCTTCTCAATTGTGAGCTTAAAGACTTCCAAGCAAGAGATTTGATGCAAAATCACCACAATGTTTAGTCCTGAGAAGAATAAATATTAAGTTTGAAAATATTCAGTTAACTAGTTTCTGACTGTGTTCTAAGTATCATTTGTATTTAAAATAGCTTTAGGGCCTAAATTGATTTGGAAAAACCATGACGGTTGGCCTATAGTTTAATGTTTAGTAGATAAGGTATTTCCTAAAGTTGAAATTTCTCTTTTGCCTAAATTAAAAGTTTCTCCCACCATCCAAGATCATTTGTCATTAAAATTTGTTCTGAGATATTGTGAGGACTTTTTTTTTGGTCTATTTGTCACTGGAATATTATCATTACGCTAGTTTTTCTATAGCCTTTTGTAGTTTACACAGCATTTTCTTAGCCACAACCCTTTGAGTCCAGCTAGTGTAAATATTATCCCTGTTTTACATATTATATGTAGCTTAAGCTTAAACAGGTGAAATGATTTGTCCACAGTCAAAAAGCTAGTAAGTAGTAGATCAAGAACACAAATCCATTCTTCCTCACTCTTTGTCCATTGTTCTTTCTACTTGAGTATGTTGCCTCTATTGGAAGTTTCCCCTTATCTGAAAATAAAAATTCTGCAAGCTCTTTGTAAGACATATTTGAGATTCCTGTTTAGTTGTTCTTGACCCAGGCCCATGAATTTTCCCTCACGTTTCTGCTCTTCCATTTTTACAGACCTGTACAGGAATTCCTTTCTCAGGCTCAAAGAGATTTCAAACACAGTTTCATTCTTTTTTATTTTCCTCAGGTCTTGGAGGAGCAACTGGCTACGTGCTGGGAGGATTGGATTGGACACAGACCTTCTTGGGTGTCTGGTTTAAAACCCAGTATCAAGTCCTCTTTTTCTTTGCAGCTGTCATTTTCACAGTGTCTGTAGTCCTCCACCTCTTTAGCATCGAAGAAGAACAATATTGCCCTCAGCAAGAGCGAATTGAAGAAGCAGATACTCTCTCCAGCGGCAAATTCAGCAGCAGCCTCCCCCCACTCAGCCGCTTGAATGTAATTAATGAGGGAGAGCCATATGGGGTTTCTATGTTTGCTGATGAAGTACAGTCTGAGCATGAGCTCAGTCTGGATTATCTTGATGTGGACATCGTAAGAAGTAAAAGTGACTCTGTACTTCACATGCCTGATGCAACATTGGAAATTGAGCCAGAGCTACTTTTCCTTCATGACATCGAACCCTCCATTTTTCAGGACTCTTCAAACCCTAACACTCCCCGAAGCACCAGCCAGGAGCTTATGAAATGCAAACGGAGCCGTTTGTCCACTCTCCTCAGGGAAAATGAAAAAGAAGATGATATGTTGCTTGATAATCACTTGAATGAAGCCAAAGTCCCAAATGGCAGTGGCTCTCCACCAAAAGATCTCATCAATGGAAACTCTAAAATGGCCTTGAAGACGTCAAACACTTCAGGCTCCATTCGGAGGAGAAGGCACATGTTCTACCGCCAGGCATCTTGCACCTTTTCCTACTATGGCAAAGTAGGGTCTCACCGTTACCGTTTCCGACGCGCTAATGCCATTGTGCTGATTAAGTCATCCCGCAGCATGAATGATATCTATGATATACAGAAGAGGCATCGTCAGAGGTGTAGACAAAGGAACCAGAGTGGTGCAACCAATTCCAGTGGAGACTCAGAGAGTGAAGAAGGGGAAACTGAGACCACGGTCAAGCTGCTGTGGCTGTCCATGTTGAAGATGCCCAAGGAGCTAAAGAGGCTTTGCCTATGTCACCTCGTGACCTGGTTTTCAATCATTGCCGAAGCAGTGTTTTATACAGATTTTATGGGCCAAGTCATCTTTGAAGGTGACCCTAAGGTAAGCTAACAGAATCCATTATATATTTCAGTCTGAGACACTTTTCAAACAATTAAACCTAACACAACAGTTCTCAAATTTTTTGTGTGATGGCCCCCTTTAGCAGTCTAGTGAACCCTATGAATCCCTTCTCAATATGATATTTTTTAAATGAATTAAAATAAAATCATTAGATTTTTATAAAGGGAAACAATTAATATTGAAAGTGTTATCAAAATTTGTGTGTGTGTGTGTGTGTGTGTGTGTGTGTGTGTGTGTGTGTGTGTAGCAGTTGGGGTTAAGCGATTTGCCCAGGGTACCAAGGTAACACAGCTAGTCAGTGTCAGGTATCTGAAGCCAGATTTGAACTCAGGTGCTCCTGACTCCATTGCTGGTAATCTAGCCACTGTACCACCCAGCTGCCCCTAAAATATTTATTTTTTTAAAAAAAGTTCGCAGACCCCAGGTTAAGTACTCCTAAGCCAACATAGCATGTATATAATCATCTTCTAGTAATTGGATGCCAAAATGCTTAAGTTTGAATTATACTAAGATTTTTGGAATACCTCATATCTAAAAAGAACCATGTAGTTTATAGAGTAAACTTTAGTCTTTTCTTCCACTGATGCCCCAGGTTCTTGAAAGCTACTAGGAACACAAAGTCTGGCAGGTCTTCTAAGCAAAAAAAGGATTTATGTATGGACCCAGCAGTGTATGGCTCTGTCATTCTAGGTCCAATTTAACAGTTTAGAAAGGCTCATCAGAAGGCCAAGGATGTTATGTCAAAGGGAAGGAGAACTCACAGCAATGAAATCCTGGATTTGGGGTCAAACTAGAGTGGGTCTTGACAGTTGGTTTTATTGTAGCAAAGACAATCTTAGAAGAGCCAGTTTATAATTTCACATTACTCAAGGAGTTAGCTAGGTCCCATGGTCTAATAAGTGGGAGGCTTCTCCGTATCAGGTCTCCAGCTTGGATCTAGTAACTAACATTTCCCCTTAAATGATAAATTACTGATTGCCCAACATCAACACTTAGATCACAGTGAGGTGATCTGTTCTAATTAATCTGAAGTCTGAGAGGTTCTGTGTCACACTGAAAGTTTTACTACCTACAATAAGAGCTCACATTTATATAGCACTTTACAAATATCTTATATGATCCTCAGAACATCCTGGGATGCAGTACTACCATTATCTTCATTTCACAGAAGAGGAAACTGAGACCAGCAGAGGTTAATTGATTTGTCCAAGGTCACTCAGCTAGTAAATGTCTGAAGCCAAATTTGAACTCGAGTCTTCCTGACTTCAGGGCCAACATTATGCAGTAGTGGCACTGTGCTACCTAGCTGCTCCTCGGATGGAGAGCAGTTATCTTTATAGTTAATATAAATTACTAGCAAGTTTACAGTTTCAACTTAAAAGGAAACATCCATTTTTAATGCCTCTTAATACCCAATTCTACCTCTGCTTTTCTTGATCCCTTTCTCAGTCCCACATATATTTCATGCTGTTTCTCCTTCATAACTCATTTCAAAGCAAACATCAATGACAGTTGAAAAACTTTACAGTGAAGACTAGGAATTGACTAAAAATCAAAAAGGCCTTGTTGATATAAGCAAAGTTTCTGAGGTTGTAGCAACTGTATTTGTTTTTATCCCATTCTCCTAGAGGAGGAAAACCTTTTTAAAATGGTACCTATAGATTCAAGGTTGATGGTTAACAACAGGGCTGGTGGTCTGGGGTACCTGGCAAGATCTTTTCCAACAGTCTTCCTTGGTAGTCTGGAAGAGAGATACTAGGCTTGACAAGATTCGAACTAGCCTTTCCTGCTAACCAAAATTGTAGTCCTCTCTCTGGACAGTAAGTTTATAGGAGGAAGTGTGTCAGTACCTTTTTCTGTTTTCAGAAGGTTTTATTTTTTTTTTATTTTGGAGATTGTCTTTGAGTTTTATTTTGGATTTAGGGATGTGGAAGTTTCTAGACCTGATTATTTTGGGAGGGGGGTGTTTGGCATGGAGCATTGAACTGAGAGATAAATAACCTAGATATGCAACTGCATGATTTGAGTCTCTGGGTCTCAGTTTCCTCAAAGGTGAAGTAAGAGAGTTGGACTGCATGATCTTCTTTCCAGTAGTTCTTTCCAGGTGTTAAACTCCTTCTGTTTATTTAGAGTGATAAAAATACTGGGTTCAAGGAATGCTTGAATGCCGCATTCATTGTAGATGTTTGAATCTTAGGATCACTGACTTGTCTTTCATTTTAGGCAAAACACTTAGCCTGTCTGGCCCATTTTCTCATCTGCATGATGAGAAGAATAATCTTACTTCATAAGAAAATTCTCTAAATGCAGTGAGATACACCATTTCTTCTCAAATGTAGTGTTTAATATTAAAGTGTAATGTTAAAACATAGAATATACCTTTAAGCAATATAATACTAGAGTCCTATCCAATTAAACTCCAAATCTTTGCTTGCAATAGGCACCTTCAAATTCTACTGCTTGGCATGCATATAATGCAGGTGTGAAGATGGGCTGTTGGGGATTAGTCATCTATGCCTCTACTGCTGCTATTTGCTCAGGTAAGTGAATCTGCTTTTAAAGGGAACCAGTGGGTCATGTGTGGTAGTGTAGTAAAAAATGTTTGTAGATTGAACTGACTCGGCACCCAGGTAATTGGAAACAGGAAATCAGAAAACACCCCCTACCCCCAATAGAATCTGTTTAGTATTTTTTTTTAAAAAATCCTATGAACAGCTACAATAGCAAATAGAATAAATCCAACCTTAATCTGTTGGTAAGCATTTGGATGTCTTCTTAAAACTATATATAGGATATTTTATACCTATTCTTTATATGTAGGACCTGTAGTCATGAAGTTGGAGTTTGAGGTCTTCATTATTTCACCCAATACTTATTGAGCCTTCCACTAAAACCCCTCCTCCAGTACCTTTGTCATGGTACAGAGGTGACAGTGGTCTTGATGGTTAAACTAGCAACTTTCAAGCTGTGAAAAATCTACCACGATGTAAAGACTTTGAATATAGGCATAGCAGTGAAGTCTATGTTAGGTCATCCATGGACTAGCCTGACTTAAGTTTGGACAAATATTTCTTACCTGAAGATTGGGCGCCACGTAATTTCAGGAAGTGAGGAGAAAGGAAAGGAGGCACTCGCCACAAATGCATGAAGATTACTTATTCTAAGGTCTTGTGATCTGCATCGTTTTAGGAAAGACCTATAGAGATGGAACTACAGATGGTTTTAAGTATTGAATTGTGAAAAAAAAAAGTAGCATTTATTTGATGAGTACCTGTTGTCCTGGGTGCTACAGGAGAGACAAAGAATGACTTGTTCCCTCTCTTCTAGGAGTTTACAATATGCAGTACTTGGGGAGATAAAACTGAAAAGTTTAAAAAAAACAAACCCACAAAGTTCCCTAAGTCAGTATGTAGTTAGATCAGAGTGGACTAGAATGATAAGAGAGAGCATCAAAGAGGAGGCAGGCCCAGGGTTAGACCTTGAAGGAAAGCCAGTCCACTTTAAATAGTAGAACTAAGGGCCTACAGAGTATAACTTATTGTGGTGGGTGATAAGCAGTATATCTGTAGGCAGAGAGGAGGCAGAAGTAGTGTTTTGGACTAGTGAATTGTCTGTTATACCTGGAGCAGAAGACTTTTATAGGGGAGTAGGAGGAAATGAGGTTTGAAGAGATAGAGGATGGGCTTAGCTAATATAAAAAGTTAATATTTTATTCAACAAATATTTGAGCTATTGAGAGTTTTTGACAAGGGGAGAAACTTGGTTGATGTATGTCAGCAATATTAATCCAGTGTTATGGTACGAAAAAGCAGAGAAACCAGTCAGTTATCCTAAGAAACCAGTTAGGCTGTTATAATAACCTAGGCAGTAAGACCTTATAATCAGGTGATGGTGGTGGAAAGGAAAGGAAAGGGCCAGATTGGGTAGACATCACAATAGATGAGGGTCCAAGATGATTCCAGGATTTAAAGCCTGATTGAAATGGTGCCAGTGAATGAAATAGTTTAGTCAGGAAGGGAAGCTGGCTCTATAGAGAGTGTGAGTTCAACTTTAAGGCTGGTGAGCTTGAGCTGATAGTAGGAGATAGCACTGTGAATATCAACTAGGCATTTGGACAGAAAGAACTAAGTGTGTTTTAGTGTGTCCTTATCTGCCTGGAGCTGAGAACAAGTCAGATCTAAAAATGACATAGGAAAGTCATCAATCCATACGTGACAGTTGAAGCTTTGAGAGTGAAAGTTTTCTAGTAAAAAGAGTGTAGTAAGATTATTTCTTGTCACAAATATATTTGATAAAACTGAATTTTCTTTAAAAAATAGACTCATTGTAAAACTTTTCATCAGTATTGTTTTCATCAGTATTGTCCTTGAGAATAGGGGGACCAAAAGAATCAGTGATTAAATGTTGCATACAGTCTTGTTCACTGGACTTTTGAACATAGATTTTTGTATTCTTTTCAGCCCTGTTACAGAAGTATTTGGACAACTATGACCTTAGTATAAGGATGATTTACATCCTAGGAACTCTGGGTTTTTCGATTGGTACTGCAGTGATGGCCATTTTCTCCAACATCTACGTCGCTATGATAATGATCAGCACTATGGGCATCGTGTCAATGAGCATATCCTACTGTCCCTATGTACTCTTAGGACAATATCATGAGATTAAAGAGGTGGGTGCAGAGCCTACTCCTCAGATTATTAAATAGTACATGTCTATATTATAATGGGGAATACATATTATTGATAATATCAACTCTTCCAACTATATAATCTAGAAGCCAGGATTTTTTGAACTGAAAACAGATTGTTTCCATTGGTCTTAGTTCTCAAATAATCTTAGAATTCTCATGTTGGAGCTGAAAAGAGATCATTTAGTTCAGTCTTTTTACTTTTATACATGAGGAAAGAGGTTTGGTGATTTGGTGAAGGATATGCCAGTAGTTATAGCATAGCGAGGACTTGGATCAGGTACCAGAACTAACCCCTTGTGCATGCTTATCTTTTTTCCTTTCCTTTCCTGTAGATGCTCCATCAATCATTTTCTCTCTCATATCTTCAGTATCTCCCTCTTCTGACTTCTTCCTCATACCCTATAAACATGCTTAGGTTTCCCTTGCCCTAAAACAAGCATACATACAAATCATGCCTTGACTCAGCCATTCCCTCAAGCCATCACTCTGTTTCCAAACTTTCCTTTGACTTTTAAACTTTTAAACAGAATAGTCTCACTTTACACTTTCCCTAGGTCTCACATTCTCCATTCATTCTCTCCACTTCCTTACTACTCATTCCTCAGGCTCTTCCTATCCAGTTTCTGTCTTTACCACTTAAAATTAAAACTAATGGCCTTTTGAGGGATCTCATCTTCCTTGACTTTCTTTTTTTTCTTGCCAGTCACCAAATACTGTTTATTTTTGTGGGGTATTTTTATTTTGTTAAATATTTTCTAATTACATTTTTATAATTATACTTCAACATTCATTTTTAAAAATTTTGAGTTCCAAATACTCTCCCTCCCTCCCTCCCACCTCCCCCTCCCCCACTTATTGAGAAGGCAAGCATTATGATACCAATTATACATATGAAGTCATGCAAAACATTTCCATATTACCATGTTACCAAAAAACATTGTGTTACCGAAAAAATAAAGTAAGTGAAAAAGGTATGTTTCAGTCTACTCTCAGCTTTCTCTGAAATATCCAGAGATTTCTCTCTCTGGATATAGATAGCACTTTTTATCATGAGTCCTTTGGAATTGTCTTGGATCATTGCATTGAAGTCTTTCCCAGTTGATCATCATTACAGTATTGCTATTAACTGTGTACAGTGTTCTTCTGGTTCTGTTCACTTCACTTTGTATCAATTCATATGAGTCTTCCCAGGTTTTCTGAAACCATCCTGTTCATCATTTCTTATAGTGTATTCATCCATCACAATTTGTTCAGCCGTTTCCCAATTGATTGACATTCTATCAGTTTCCATTTCTTTGCCCCTACAGAAAGAACTGCTATAAATATGTTTGTACATATAAGTCCTTTTCCTTGTGCTTTCATCTCTTTGGGATTCAGACCTAGTAGTAGTATTGCTGGGCTTAACTCTCTTTACTGTTCACCACTATACCCCATCAGAACAGAACCGTGACTTTGTTGTCTCCTAATCTTCTGTGACACTGCCCTCTCATGGGTCTCCTTCCACATCTTTCTCCTTTCCTGACTTCTTATCCTCTGTCCTTTACACAAGGTTTTGTCCTTGGGCCCTCTTCTTGCTGCATCTTCTGCCATGGTGACCTCATCAACTCCCAGTGTTTCGGTTATCAATGCAGATGACTCTCAAATCTGTATCTCTACCCTCATATTTTCCATATAGCTCCAGTACTAGGTTTCAGACTACCTACTGAATATTTTTATCTGTGATATCACGTGAACATCTCAAATAATGTGTCATACCAGAACTTGATATTCTCTGTTAAATTCTCTGTTTCTGTGGATGTTCGAAGAGATCTCAGTAGCCATCTATTCAACCCATCCCCCCCAAACACATCCTTATTATGACCAGCCCCTTTTTCAGACAGATTGATGTCTAATCGTGTCTTCCCCATTTTGTACTTGTGAAATTGAATTCTAGAGTCCCTATGTACATTAATCCTACTAACATTTGCTTTTAGTTCTGTGATGCCCCTCTCCATTCTCCAAGGTGTTTCATATATCATTTGACTATTATTATGGAGTGGGGCCAGGTGACTTGAGTTTTTGAAGGAATGTTAAGGGTTCTGTTACTATGCCTTATCTTTGATATCAGCTGCCCTTTAGCCATTTTTATTCTGCTCTTTCCTATCCAGAGGTGATTCATCTTGTTTAGGGTTTTAAAAAAACAAACCCAGAAACGCCACCCCCCCAAAAAATGAGGAGTTGTGCCTTCTGCTTCTCCTTGGTGTTTTTCCAGGCCACCTAGAGCAAAGGTCCTTTCTCTTTTGTGATCCCTATTTATTGATGACATCTCTGCATTCACATCAGGCAGCTCAGTTTTCATCCTCCTTGGAATTATTTCCTTCTGTGTGTTCAAAAATTAATTCCAGAGAGTTTTCTATCCCTGTTGGGTTGACTTTTCCTATACAATATAGTCTGTGAGATTCTGCCTTTCATTCCTTTGAAATCTGTTCTCCTAAAACCTAGGAGGGCAAGTCAAATGATGCCTGACTTTCTTTTGCGTAATCACAAATTCTAAGAAGTAGTGAGGCCTTTCTCCCCGCCCCCCCCGCCAAGGTTCCCGTCATTTTCTTCTTGGCACAGAGTTCTTTCCTATATTAATGAGATTTGAATCAAAAAATAAAATTTCCCTTTTGGTTCCTCTACCTTTTAAATGATGAAATTATCGAGACAAGTCAGGTTATTAAATGCTCTGCCTTCCAGAGAAGAGAGCTTCCTCAGATGTCTCTATAATTGAAGACATCTCTAAAACCACTTTATCTTACCTTTTTTTCCAGACTTGTGATGTGTTTCCAGTCTGTGTACTTTACTCTTTGTTTACATGGTCATAAAATCACTTCTGCTTCTCCTTCCATTGGTATTGATCCATTCTTCCCCTTCCAGTGCATGGGTTTCTTGATGCATTTTAATAATGTCCTCTCTGCTCTCCCTGCCTCTGCTAGTCTCTCCTTTCTTAAATCTGTCCATTACACAACTGCCCTGAGTAATATTCCTAAGACACTTCTCTGGACACATTACTTTACTACTCAAAAGACCATTGCTTACCAAATAAAATACAGATCCCTGATTCCTTGATTAAGGCTTCCACAGTCCAGCGTAGACTATTCCCCTTTCTAAACAGTGTTCTAGCCAACTGGTTGAGCCACCCACAATCTCAGAAGCTGTGTGTTCTAACTGAAACCCAGCAAAGAGCCTCCAGCTTTCAGGCGACCACCTTCCAAGAGGGAATTCACCATTGTCCTGATATCGCCTCTTTTATTTTGGGACAAATCCAATCGTGTGGTAGTTCTTTGTTCCATCAGGACTAAATTTGCTTTTTTCCTTATACCTATTGCTCCTCATTCTGCCCCCCTGGGGCCAGTTCTGTGTCCTTATCATCCTTCTGGATGAAATATGAAATCTTCATATTTTTCGTAGCAGTTTGGCTGGGTCTCTCCTTCATGATTTCATTCATTATTGTAGCATGATCATTTCTGTGTATTTCTTCCCTTCACCCTCCCCCCCAATAGCATGTGTAAGTTTCATTACAGCAGGGTATGAGTCATATCTCTTCTATTCCTGGCATTGGGCTTTGCATAATAAAGGTGCTTAATAAATGTTTGCCTAATGGATAAAAGTCTTTTCTAAATCTCATCTGTCCTCATCTTTTTTTTTTCCTTGCAGTATGTGCAACATAGCCCTGGAAATTCACAGCGTGGATTTGGCATTGACTGTGCAATCCTCTCCTGTCAGGTTTATATTTCCCAAATCCTTGTAGCCTCTGCGCTTGGTGGAGTGGTGGAAGCAGTAGGTACTGTCCGTGTTATTCCAATGGTGGCATCTGTGGGATCATTCTTGGGCTTCTTGTCAGCAACATTCCTGGTGATTTACCCTGACTGTGAAGAATCCAAGGAAGAGCATAAGGGACTGTCTTCTCGCCACACAGCTGAGAGTGGCAACACCGAGGAGAAACCCAGTGTTTTAAAGCTCTTTCGGAAAGAGGAGTCCCAAGTCTCAGTAGAGGACGAGTCAGTCATCTGAATCTACCATTCTGATTTTACACACATTCCAAGCAGGAACTGGGGCTGAGTGTGGAGATGGTTTTAAAGGGGGAGGGGGGGGAGAAGTTACTGAACATTCTGTAATTGCTATTGCCTGAATTATGGCATAAATAAGATTTTGTGCAAAAATGTACTCAAAATTCATTAGTCTTAGGTTAAGTTTGAACCAGTAGGCAAATGTATAAAACTGATTGCTTTCTCCATTTTAAAAAACAGGGGGAAAAAACAAACAGAAAAACCCCACATCACTTATAAATGCCTACACCTTTTTTCTTTTTTAATTAAGATAAGACCTTTTGATTCCAACTATTACTCAAAATATGCAGGTATATTGTTCTGCATGTTTTTAACATGTTGCTGTATAGACAAGCAATTTAGAAAAAATTAAGAAATATTTTGCCTTTTTTAGATTGTAATTTCAAACAGAAAGCTATTTTGACAACTTTTATGAGATGTCATCTGAATCCCTCAGATAATGCCAGTTTAACTTGAATAAGACACTTTTATCAGAAATTTTTTCCACAGACAACTATTAGTCTGACAGCTATAGTTATTTGGTCAAATTTCACCTCATTTTTTGGTGCCACTATTATTGAATATTTTTCTTTGCAATCACTTTAGAAAAAAACGACCCAAAAGTGTGGTCTTCTTTTTTTAAAAATGCATTGGACGTTTTCCTCAAGTCTGACTGATCTAGGCCCAGGGGTTGGGGGTGGGAGATAGGGTTGGGAACATACCAAAGGTGGGAGGAGCAGCCCAGAAGGTAATCTTGTGTTTGAAATGCCCACTTGACAAGGACAGTTTGTTTTTAATGCATCCTCGGAACATGCTGTGATAGGACATTAAGAGAAGACCTTTTATTTGAACTGGCGAATGTGCTGCATCATGTGTCTGTCTGGGTGTATGGGCTCGTGTGTTTGTTGTGAGGGGTTTGTTGTTTTCATGGCATCTGATGCTGATCATCTCCGAAGCAACCATGAAGGGGCAGAGGGTGTTCTCCTATTATAAGCCAGCTTTATAGAATGGCGGACAGCCCTCTGGGGAAGGGAGGGTGGGGATTTTTATTTTTATTTTTTTTAATTGCACTTTTTATCATCTTGAACCTTTTGTTGGGGAAATCATGCGAGCTGAGTTGAAGGCCTAGCACCACAACAACATGAAGGCCAACTTCTGATTTGCGTGGAATTGTCTCGTTATAACAAAATCCATGTCTAAGGTGGCCTTGCGCCTTTACAGAAAAAAAGAAATGGATATTGGTGAGCACGTGTGCCTTGCCTGCTGCTGGGTGGGTGAGCAGTCGCACCTGCTGCAGCTCTGGGGTCTCTGCTGACCTCTCAGCCAGGGAATTCCATCCTGGAAATGGGACTTTCTTAGGTGACTTGCTGGGTTTGGGTTTTTTTCCTCTAGAACAAAAGGAAAGACTGCTCTGTTTTCTACGTTTAAGAAACCTTTAGTATTTCCGGTTTTCATATACAAGCAAAACTCAGAATGGGGGTAAAGTAGAAAATGCAGCTGCTATTGGAAACTTCTCTCCAACCACAGTTTCTCTGTCAACGAGGAAGCTCCTGCTCTTTCTTGTTAGCAGTGGCCACGATGAGCAAGCATATGGATTTCAGGGAAGAGAGCCGGGAGCCTGCTGCAGATTAAACTGATCAATTAAGACAATTGTGGTACTGCTGCCTCAAAGTGGTTGTTTTTAAAATAAAGTACTTTAAGATGCATGTGAATCATGCTGCAATATGATCATTCAAAAGCAAATATATATTTCAAGATGAAACTAAGAAGTTTTTAAAATAAATTACTTGAATTTTCAGTGTATATAAGAGAATGAATATGTTTTAATGTACTGATCTGATCTACATTCTTGCCAGTGTCTGTACAAGTTGTTGATGGGAATATGTTTCTTTTGTTTGTTTTGTTCTTAATAACTTTCTCAGTCTGTGTTCATTTAAGTTAGACTCCCATCAGAAACAGATGTACCGTGTTAAAGTTGCTGGAATTTCCTAGCTCACAAGGACACCAAATTGCACAGGACTTTTTCCAAGTCTCAAATGTTGCTTGACTGTTTTCTAAACTTTTGTTTTTTGTTTTTTATTTAGAACCATATGTGTATGTGAATTTTTTGCTCAGACAAAAAACCAACAGTACTACTGAAGGCATTTACAACCTTGCTCAAAACCATGCAGTTTGTTTGAAGTATCCTAGCTACCCTTCAGGGAGCAGGCTTTTCTATCACCTTTTATTCACTGGAACGGGTGCTGCAGACAAGGAGGCCATGGGGGTTTCTCTTGCCATAGGCAAGTTGTAATACATGATTCACTTCATATCACTTTACAACTGTAAAATACTGTTTATCAGGACTTTTGACTCTTGTTCTGGAGGATCATGGTCAGGTGGCTAAAGGCTTGTTGATCCACTTAGAGGTGCTACCCTTTTAACAATTCAGAAAATGGATGAAGGAGAGATTAGAATGAGAACACAATCTGTATGTTTATATTTTTGATCTGTCTTCAGTTTTTTTAATGAATTAGATGGACCTTTGCTTTCCAGAGCCCTGGTGCCTGTAGATTATTTCATTTTGCTGTTTGCAAATATGATATTTGTTGTGGCAGGCAACTTACGGAATACCAAGGGTGAACCGTATTGGTTTATTGACAGGGAAGGGAGACTGAGTACAGAAATCCTAGATTTCAGTTTTGTTTCTTGCCAATAGGTAGTTTCTACAAGGCTGTTACCTGAAGGATGGTGGCCACCTTATATCCACGTCTTGACCTTTAACAGTCAAGCCTTCACTCAGACCATGGTCTTTCAAGTAGAACAAAGGCAAAAAACTGGTATGTTCAGATTTTAAGGTCTTCTACAAGTAACTTGCATTTTGAGTAACATCTTTTTACAGAAAAATATTCATGAAAACATTTTCTAAATGTGCACTTAGTCACTGTCAGTATGTGCAGGTTTTTGTTTTTGTTTTGTTTTTTTTGGTAACATGGGCAGAAGGAAATTGCTGCACACTTTGGTAGAACTTTTAAGCTATAACTTTTTCAGATGTTTTGCAACCAAAGTATTTAGTACTATGTAGGCTAACTGATTTCTACATCAGAAACAAGGGGGGAAATGCCTTGCAGTTTGAGCTCAAAAAGATTATGGTAACTGTTGAAGCTCTGCAGATTAGCTTTCAGGGAGACAGACACATTAACTAGCATTACCTTGGTTCCCCTTCTATTCTTCCCCCTTCTTCATGCCTGGGATATAGGGGATAAGTGTCCTCTCACTTCCTAAGTATGTTGGGGAATCCTTTTGTGTCTCATCCCCTCAGTGGCAGTCAAATCACTTAAAAGATTGTACTGTTGAATCTAATAGAGTATAATCACCTTGTGTCTTAAGAAGTGATGGGAGAAAGGAGATAAGCATTTTTCCACAGCAGATTTGTTACTGCCTGAGTGAGGATGTTCTCTATTTTATATAAATATATCCTAAAATTACACTTCAGATAAAATATGTACTGTAGCAGATTTGATAATTAATCGTTAATGGTAGGGGTGATTTTCCTTCCCTTAAAATATCTCTGTATACTATTAACTTAGAAGAAGAGATTTTATTTCTCTATCAGTAAATCTGATTTGACTGTTACTGTACTTTTTGAAAGGTTCAAGTAGCTTAACATAAGCCCTCTGTACTGTGCACTGGGTAAAACACTTGCCAGCATCTGGCCTAGTGTTTTATGAAGACTCTGGTGGCTGAAGAACACATTGAGAGTTAAGCAGGGTGCCCGGAAAAAAATTATTTTAGCCAACAGAATGAAATTTCTCTGACTTGTTTCTTTCAGTGGCTTGACACCTATGCATTAGAAATACTCATTTCCAAAATATGTTAGCATTTGTCAGATTTAGGGATTAAGGCCTTTTTCTTCCCTCTATCCTATATGGGTGAGCTCCCACATAAAACAGTTTTTAAAAAATTTGTTCTAGAAAGCTTATCATCTTGTAATGGAAAGAGAAGAAGAACAGGGGGTTGAAGTATCCCTTAGAGTCATGAGTTTGAGGTCTTAAGTCCTTGGACCTTGCCTGTGCCCCCTTTTGCATTTCATCATGTTCCAAAGGGTCAAGTTTCAAGTCTTGACCACCTGAGTCTGATGAGCTGAGAATTCTGTTAACCTGTGTGGTGTCTTAGCTGAAGCAGGAAAAAAATTAGTCTTCTGTTAGCCTTTTCAGGTGCAATTTTCTGACTAGTTGTGCTAACAGAAAGACACTTGATATCTGTCTGCTGGTGTTAAAGAACAAAGCAATGATGAATAGAGAGGTTTTCATCTTGGTTTGAATCCCTCCTGTCATTAGGCCTAGTTAACCCTCTATGGTAGCACTCAAGGGCCAAGGAGGAAAAGGTGGTGGGTGGTACTCTTCTAAATTGTCCTGGTTAATTTGATGAGGATATTTCCCCTCTATAACTATTCCTCTTGCTTTGAGACATAGTTGGTTGTTTATAGCAGTCCTTTAAAAGATCCTTTTTTAAAAAAAGTAAAGGGTTAGCTGTTGTTAGGACCACATTCCCAATAGGTCTCTCCACATCATATTTACTGATGCATTTTCCAGTATTTTTTCCCCTAGGCTGAGTAGACTAGTCTCCTTAGGTACAAAACAGATAGATTAAAGAGCAGCAAAGTGAATGCTAACTTCAGAATGTTCATCTTTAGCTTGGAAAGTCTCTCAATGACAAGTCTCTTGCCAGCCAGCCCCACTACCAAACAAGTGAAAAGAGCACCAAATGTTGCATGAAACAGATCCCTGGAACAGTGTGTTTGTATGTATATGTGTGTGTGTATGTGTGTATTTGTGAAAAAAAAAATACCAAATGACTAACTTTTGGAAGACACCTTGCTTCTATGTATTTTGTGTCTGTATTTGATCCACCAAACTGTTATCTGGTAAGGGATCTTCCCCTGAAAGTGAGCTGGCCAGAGCATATGTGATTTCCATGTTATATTGGGACAATAGTGCTTCCTTCTGATGAAGTGCAGTATTTTAGCACTGGGTGAGGTAGAGTGCTACTGGGGAAGCTTTCCTCAGAAACAGTTTTTTCTTCCTTTTAGTGTTTAGGATGCCAGTGGTGGTCCCTGCTACCCCCAAATGAGACAATCCAAAATTATATTTAAAAAATCTTTTGTTACCTGAATTTTCTTTACCTCTGATGTTTGCTTTTCTCTGTACAAAAAGTTAAATTTTCCAATGTCCATTGCATCAGAGGAACAGCTAGTAAAAAAAACCATCCTCTGTTTTTCTCCTTGGCCTAAAAGCCTGGACTGAATTCTTCATTTACGGCTGATGAGTATGGTTGTTAGTGCTATACCCTCCTGGTATATTCAAGCACCCCAAGTTCAAGACTCATTCATCTGGCCAGAGAGGGCCTATTAACCAGTCAAAGACTGTTATCCCCACTCGCTTTGTGCCGGCCAAAGTTCCCAAACAACATTTGGGAAGCTTTTCCAACTGACAATAGATTTTTGTTTTATTTTGTCCTCTCTAGGGCACAGGGTCCATCACCCTTCTCACGGAGCTCTCTGGTCCCACTAATGTTTTCAAATAGAAATAGTTCTTCCTTTTGTAACATGGAAATGGGTGTTCTCCTGGGAGCTTGTTTAAATGCCTCATGTCAATGGAAAAGCTGCATAT